CACGCCAAGGCCTTTGCGAAGGAGTGGCAGACCAGAGCCGAGAGCTGCGACCGCCGCGCCGCTTCACGTGCCCAGGACGCCAAGGCTCGGTATGACGACCATGCCCGCCCTCTTCAGCCACTGGAGATTGGTGCCCTTGTCCGTGTCCAGGACCCGAAGACGACACGTTGGGACAAGGTGGGCATAGTGATGGGCGTCGGCCGGTCGCGGGACTACAAGGTCAGGATGCCGAGTGGCCGTGTCTGGTGGAGGAACCGCCGCTTCCTCCGGCCAGTCCCACCCCCTGCTGCTGGCCCCCTGACCGAGGACGAGTCCCCTACACCTCACGAGGATCCGTCCCACAGTGCACCTCGACGCTCGGAGCGACTTAGGACTAAGAAGTCCGCTCAAGACAAAGACTATGAGCGTGAGGGAGGGAGGGAGATGTAGGTTATGTATCTATGCTACTGTGCCGAGTAGCAACCTTGTAAATAAGCTACTGTGCCGAGTAGCATTTATATATGTAATTACGTGGCAACACTGCACGTGTTATGTGGCAACATTGCCCCGAGGCTGCCATATGGCAAGGCAGTCTCAGTCTGACTCCGTGCCTCGTGCAAGGCACACACTAGTCGCCACTTGTATTTCTCCTATCCGTTAATAAATGGACTTCAGTGTTACCCGGTGTTTCCCTACCCATCACTGCCTTCTTCAGGGAACACTTGGAACCTTCAGTGACCCTCGGAGAATCGCACTTTTACAGGATGGAGGAGAAACTGATCACCCTCTACAGCTACTGTCTCTACACCGCAGGTTAGACACCCAAGAGCAGCACTGCTTCTCTAAGCAGACACCAGCTCCTCTTCTTGCCCCAAGCACCACGTCCTACCGACCCCAACACACCCGTCCTGCCTCAGACGCCGCCCCCGGCCCAGCAGTACTCCCTGCCACTATCCTGGACCCTCCTCCGCTCTTGCCTGGCAGCCCCTGCTCCCAACGCGGCCCATGCACCTGAGTGCAGACCCACACACCCCTCTTTTCTCCCTCAGGTACCCCCTGCTACTGTCCTGCACCCTTCTGCTGTCGTGGACCCTGCTGCTGTCATGCACCCTGCTGCTGTCATGGACCCTCTTCCTGATGCACAGCCCCTGCTCCTGCCCAGGCCCACACACCCCAGCAGGCTCATCTGAGGACTCTGTACCTGTCGCGAGGGAAGCACAACATTCATTGCCTCCACAACCCTCCTTCTCCCTCTCTCCTCCCACAGATCTTGTGTATCTAGACAAAGTTGTCTCCACTAGCGGCTGGCTCATCCTCGCCCTCGCCGTTATGTCTCACATGTGGCATACAACCCAGCCGACAACACGTCTCCTGCACCGCCCGTTCTGCCTCACATGTGCCATGCAACCCTGCAGACAACAAGTCTCCTACACGGCCTGGAGGGAAGGGGGAGTAGTGTAGTGGATTCCTCCCCTACAAACGCTGTTTGTCGCTGAGTAGCTGACCCGGCGAATTCCCCAGTGTATGCCTCGTGGTCTAGGTCAGCAACCAGCGCCGCCTTGCATGACTGAGGTCAACTATTAAGCCACGCCTACCCCCGCTATATAACACCTGACCTCGTGGTGACCTACCTCTCTTTCTACCTACAGCCAGTCCTCAAGCAACACCTCCTCCTCCTGTCTGGCGGCCCTCGCTCCCGCCAGCGACCATGGCGACCCACAAGCTGGTCCTTCTCTGAGCACCCTCACCAACCAGCTCTCTCTACATCACGCTTGTAACCACGCTGCCACTTCCCAGCACCAAGCTGCACTGTACATCCAATACAATATGTATACAGAGAGCACATTGTATGTTTCCTTTTTCCATCCCATCCTGAGTGTGAACCAACATCTCATACCCCACAAGTCTTCTAAAGGCACATGCGCAAATAGTTTCTCGTACATATCTCTATTCATTATGGAGAAATCAGCTGCAGTATCCACTTCCATGGTTACAGGTGTGTCATTAATACACAAGTCCACATTATACCTATGTTTAGCTTTCTCTTCATGACTGGTGTAAATAGTAAACACATGGGCACTCTCATCATTATCAGTGTCATGGGTTGCGCTGGGCCTCCCGCACAACCCATCCCAAATGTTTGTTTAGGTAGAGATAAGGTACCCGGCCAGCCGATAGGGGTCATCTCACGCCTCAAAACCACATTTTAGCCGGTAGGCTTTAGTCCTTGGGTTATAGAAGACCTCCTGCTCCGCGGATTTAGAACAGGGGCCATACAGTCCTACCAGTGCTACGAGTCTGTGTGTGCAAATCCCCGAGTTGTTGTTAAGTCCAGCGACAAGTTAACACATCCTGTAAAGGAAGTGATCAATGGTGAGGGCCTGTTTGCTACAAGAGCACTCCAGGCCGGCCTAATAGATCTAAACGATTAATTCCCCAGGTTGACAAACTCTCCCTTATAACTTACAGTACTGTGGCGAGAATGTGAGTGACTGACCTATCCATGCAAATTATAAGTCCAGTGTATGGAATTGTGCCAATTAAACGTAAGTGCAATTATCTGCCCGTATCTGTGACCCCTCTATTATTATTATTATCAAAGGTAATGACTGATTGGTTATGACAAGTATAACCAATAACTTAGATGGATGTTGGAAGTTAATGGAATTCATTAAATCATCATTTATAAAGTACACAACGCATTGAATGCCGGAAGCAGAGTGAAATTCTACGTAGTGATATACCATAATCTCCTGGGTGAGTAACCAGTGTGAAGGTGTCTGAGTTCTACGATAAGAAAACCACTTCCTTGCATTTAAAACGTAACAGTCAGGTCCAAAATAGCTAACACTCTCATGAATACTGTTTTTCATTTCCTTCTCTTCACCTTCAACGACATATACTCTACTTTTATCACTTCTGGCAGGGGCTGTAATTTCTTTCATACAGGCAGGAGGAATATGTCCAATACACTGACAATTGTAACATCTTGAATTCTTGAACCTACACTGAGAGCTTTCATGTTTCCCTAGGCATCTTTTACATTTTAAATCAGCATGTGTTCCTTGTTTTGTGGCAAAATTCTTCTTTCTAGCTACAGTTACTTTACACACTGAGCCAACTGTTTCACTACCAGCATTGGCAACAAATTCTCTGGTGTTTTTCTCTGCTATTTCCTTGCCTGTAGCTATCTGACATGCGTTTTCAAAAGATAAGATGGTGGTGTTCATTACGTTATTTTGTATTTTTTCATAATTCAGACCTGTCACAAAACTGTCTCTTAGAGCTCGGTTTAAGAACTGTCCAAAGTTACAGTGAATGGATAACTTCTTCAAAGCAACTATATAATCACTAACTGATTCATCTTTCCCTCTATCTCTTGCGCCAAATTTGAAAATTTCAGCGATCTCATGTGGAGCAGGATCAAAATGTTGCTTCAAAGTCTTGGTAATCTGAATCAGTGAGATGTCCTTGGGTTTGTTTGGAACCAGCAAATTGACCAGAGTAGAATAAACATCAGCTCCTACCTCTGTCAAATAGATTGCTTTCCTTTTCTCTTCAAGGGCCTTCTTCTTCTGAGCATCACCACCGTCGTCCATTAATTCATTTGCCAGAAAGAAGAAGTCCATTCTCTCGCAATATGATGTGAAGTCCTCCCTGACTGCAACAAACTCTCCAACTCGTCTGATGTATGCCATGTTTGCTTTCTTCACTATTATTCTCCAGGTTTAGACTAGCCTTCCCTTCAGTGGTCACTATCCTCTTTTCAAGGACTTCACAAACACTTTGTGAATCCCATCCTCGTCGCCAGTGTAGTATCTTACATTATTTGGTGGGAGAATGAGAAGCCACATGCTACGTCTACCTGGAGCGTTTATTCTCTGTTGTTGTAACAACTTGCCTAACATATTTCGTGATTACACAAGCCTAAACACTTTCTGACTTTGGTAAGAAGTAACGTAATATATAATGTATATATGATCAATAAAGGCAGCACATAAACATAAACATATATAACAGATGGATGCAGTAGGAGAGCAGATCACCAGTAGATCTCGCCTGGCGAAAGCCATACAGTTTTTCTTACTTCTGGTGATTCTGAGCCTCAAACTTCATTAAACGGTTATTTGATTTGCAATAAGTTTCATCGATATATATTTTGTCTATTAATGCTATATTTTCCGAGTGTTCCAAACTTCCAATAGTGTTTTATATTTTAACTATTGCTATGGACTCGTAAAGAAACTAAAAACAACTTTATTGTAATATTAACAGAAATTAACGCACTTGAACCAATGGAATGACTGTGGTATTCCCAGTGGCCCTATTTGACCAGTTGGAAGGTCGCCCAAGATACTGAAACTGTGCTCTTATCATGAACCCGTCTGTCTCACATGTTCCCGTGATACCGCTGCCAGCCACAAGACTCACTTCAACCAAATCCTGACTTCATTCAACTAACTCCCAGTTGTATATTTTATAATATAAGTCAAATTTGTAACGCTGTGTTTCGATTCTATCCTACTGTTTTTGCCTAACCTTACGAACGAGAAATATACTGGATTAAAGTCTGTTATCTCTACACTTCCAAAACAATTGCATTTTATTCAAAATGAGTTGTGAAAATTTTCACAAGTATCTTTTACTCATCATTAATGCTATAGTTTTCAAAAAGTTATGTAAATTTCAAACTATAATAATTTGCCTTTCAGGTGTTGTCTACCGGTATATTAACATTATAACATATCCAAGACCAAGTTAATGGTGTGCAGGAGCTGTAACAAGTCAGCAGAGTTCCAGCACTTTCACACATGGTAACTTGATGCACACACACAGAGAAGTACCCTATGGGTGTGCCTTCTAAGTCTCAACCCGTAATTCCAACTACTGTGATTAGGTACACATTAGGAAAGTGTCTACACCGCATGCATACACTTTAAATTTAGGGAATGTGTCAGATGCAGTTAACATACGCTATCACTGAAGAACCAAATCAATGAAGGATAATGAAGAACTAAATACAAGAGTTACATATAATTTATTTAGATGAAGCTGGCGTGTGTGTGTTAGTGAGGATGATAAGCCTGCAGGCACACTTGGACAGTATGTTGGACTTGAGTAATGACAACAAATAAAATCCACTCGTAAAGAAGCTTATAATACGAAAAAAACACTGAAGATAAATTAGTATTACACTTTTTTTTTTACAATATCATTAAAACAATGGCCAAAATACAAATATAGTTTGAAAGGTTGACTTTCCATTATAGACTACACAAGAAAAGCTAAAACGTCCTTGAAATGTCCTGTCTTATTGTGCGAACAGGGAGAGGACATGTGGCGTCGATGACAAGAAGGAAACACAAACGGACGGACAGGTGCATGAAAGAGATGAGTGGAGTTGTCGTTCTTGTTGAGGCACTGCGTCACAGCTCCTGCTTGACTTGACGAACGCTGCTACTTCTGGAGAATCTCCTTCTTAACTATGTTGAAGATTATGATACTTGTAATACTTGTAATATTGAAAAAGCGCGTGGATGTTGTTTATAAGGCCATGGCGGCTTGGGCACCAATAAAGAAGATATTTAACAACAACAGGGCTTTCGTATTCCCAGAAAGTCGACCATGAGATCATAAGAGGATACGAGATTGAAGTGAGGGACACTCTCTGGCCAGATGGAGCTCTCGTGGGGAGGGACCCTGATGTCCTCGACGGGTAGGCGGTACGGGTGTTTCATCCAGATGGGCTGGTATCCCGGTTTCACCTGCCGACAAGACCATGCACGCGTTAACACTCGCCTTAGACGACATTAAAGTACACTTGGATGATTTTTTTCAGTGGGTGTTGCAGAATAAAGATTCTCCCTGTACACAGCTGTATTTCTCCAACGTCAGGAGAGCTTTTAATCATAAAAATATAAATATCTGCGAGGTTTCATTCGCAGATATCGCATAATGAGATCGATGTCTGATCCTACGCCGAAATGAGGAACCACTAGCGTCTCGTGGGGTGGAATCCAGATGCAGTCCCAGTCCCACGGGTGCCGGTACCAGATGGGGTCCAGTGTCCTTAGCTGTCAAGAAAGCCAGTAATTAACATGCGAAGTACCCGACAGTGGGAGTACGTTCTTACGTGTAATGTTGGGCACAAGGGAGCTAAATGTGTGACTTAGTGGGACCTACACCCTAATACTTCACAACACTAATACTTCGAGGCCCTATGATCACTGAATCTTGAGATATTGTCTATTGATTTTTGAATGAATCATAATATCTAGTTGGTTATAAACAATACTCTAAACAACAAAGATGATATAATGTACAGCCTCTTCCACTTCCAACTGGTACAGTTAACGTTGTCAATCCTTCCTCTCCATGTGGTGTGAAACCCGGGAATATCGACTCGTGGATCCGAAACATTCACTAGCGAGAGGGAGAAGGGGGCTGACTATACCAGTTGGATGTGGAAGAGACTGTACATATTCTAGTGTAACTTCACTACTGCTTGGATTGCATTTTTTATGTTATATAATTTTGTGGCATAAATATGTCATTTTGGTAGAAATAACATTTACTGAAGAGTCACTGACCAGTGATAGATATTCGTGCATTTTTCGGATGTTAAGACTTTCATGCACATGCGCAGTCAATATACTGAAATATGGATTCTAGGTGTTATACTATAATTTACTCTACCAGAAGATTATCTACAAGATGATGAGGACCTGGGCAATAATCCCTGATATAAGCTGTTAGATGTGTTCCCTTGTGGGCAGAACTACAAGTGGGTCTACTAAATACAGAGAAAATACAACTGCGCTGAGTAAGTCTGGAACACTGCGTACACCGTAGTATACTGCCAAACATACTGGTACCTGCGTGCAAAATATACTGGATAACTTAATTACTGTGGGAGCGGCCTCAGACCAGGACACCATACAAGAGACCGTAGGAAGACACCAGGTGGGAGAACTGCTGTCCCTGGGGCCAGAAGGACCCCCTGTTGTGAGGCATTACCTCATCCTCAACACGCAGGTAGTGTGGGTGATGGACCGTCTTCACCAACATCGGTGGGGACCTGGCAGTCTTCTCAGGAGACTCGGCTGCCTTGGGAGTTAGGACTTCGTAGGTAACTTCGTCGGGGTATCTGGAGGGTGAGGGAGGAGCGCTGGTCGCCCGCTCTCTGAAGATGGTGCCGTCCATGGGGAAAGTTTTGAGGCGCTGGGGACAGAGGAAAGGGCAGGCCGGGCGTGAGACATGTGCTCGTGCAGGACACAAGGTGGTACATGGAAGGAGCATCACAGCAGTAGTGTCTTAATCATCTAAGATGCAACAATCATCAAGCTATCAGGATCAGGGACTTGTACAGTACATGATAATACTGGCGGAACCAAAGATTTTCCTAACTGTTAGCAAACTACATTTGTCTATATGGTTCAAAGTGGTTTACACAATGTAAATTTAAATTACGTACAATAAAATAGATGAAGAATTAATGGATAAAGCATGTGCGAATTTCATGGCCAGAATTTCTAATATAAAAAATTGCAGTAAATAATCTGATGTATGATTTTATATCTTTATAATTCAGAAAACAAAAGATAATTGCAAAGTATTTTTGAGCCAATTAAAAGAAATATCAAATGAACATAAATTTTTCTCTGGTGACATAAAAAACTTTGTTCCCTTATCCTGTTGGGGTCAAGCGGAAAACAATAAGACTATTGATCTAAATCTAAAGACTGTTTCTTGTGACATCATCCAGACCAGTGTAGGAACCACGTGTTGCAGGGACTTGTCTCACACCATTCTAAGACTATGGAGCTGTAAGGTTTATTCCAGAGATACAAACCATTCCAGGAACCAAGGATGGAAAAAAATATGAATCATGCAACCGGACAGAAGGCACTCACTCCATCGTGGAGCAATCATTATATTCCAGACGCAACTAACCTAGAATTACTGGGTATGTGGCAGTCAACGCTACAGGTTTTGACAACAGAGGCATAAAGACGATGGTGCCTCAAAATACAATAAAATCACTATAATGCAAATTAAGTGAAGTGAAGTCGGTCGTTTAGGCTCTGTGAACGGAACACTCCTGGAACTCCGTTTTAATCTCACACAGAGGCATCAGAACGACACACACACTGCCAATATCACTAGAAGGGAGAGTTTGACTGTATCTCGCTACCACTGTGTCTATAAGAGACTCACTTTTCTACAACTATCATATGAACACACGCTTAAGAGCACAGCAGGGAAACGCCAGGGGCAGTACACACTGGGTCAAGGAGACTAGGCCCTGATACCATAATTACCAAGCCAATACCCATGAGTTGAAAGGGGCAAGCAAGGGGCAGGACTTTGATACTAATACTTTTTGTACACCTGTGGTGTGAGGTGTCGACACAACATATACCTATCAGTGTTAAAACTGAACATACTTGAATACAAAGGCTCTAATGTAATGCTGTGTTGTAAGCTCATACCACAGTTATGAGAAAAACAAAAACAGTACTTTATGGAGGGGAGGGGAGGGGAGGGGAGGGAGGCGTAGACGTTATAAGAGCAGCCCAAACAGTGGCCCCTCAGCTGGTGACTGATGGCTCCTCTCACTTGGTTGGTGATGACAAAGTTAGTTTACTCACGGTGGAGAGCTTCTACCCACGGTGTAATGACTGTGCTTTTGGTTTACTTAGATTTTTTTTTAGTAATACTTACATGGTCAGTTTTTATATCGTAAACCGGATTTAAAAATAGTAACTCACATTTACACTACAGTACACCTTCAGCTGAAGTAAACATAACTTCCAGCTATTAAAAAAAGAAGACATTTTGGGATATTAAAAAATAAGAAAAACCCTTTGCAATGCAGTAAAGCATTTAGAAAAATGAATAGCGAAGAACAACCCCTTGTGGTCCCAAACAGCTCAAGGGTTGGAAGAGTTCCTAAATAGAAGTTTTGTATATACTAAACTATCAAAATCCACCAAAGGGTGTTGATTGTATGTAGAAGTCTGCGTGCTTTATTGGGCTAATGAAATATATATATATATATATATATATATATATATATATATATATATATATATATATATATATATATATATATATATATATATGTATATATATACGTAAAAACGACCTGATTCTTTAAGTGAGTTTTATTATAGTTTACTTTGTTTATTTGGATGATAAAATTCATCAAATCTATAAGTTCATATTTAAGTACCAATGATGACAAGAATCAAATCATAGTTTATATAAGTTAACACCAGTCTTATTAAATGTTATTACTCTTATCATGATGCTGTCAGAAACACTGTATATTATGCTGTCTCTGACGGGGGCTTCTGTACATTATAGATGAGTTAACTGATAAGAGAGAGAAATATACTGCAGCTTCGTCCTCCCAGTCAATCAACCGTTAGTCTCAATAAGTAACTGGATGGGGAGAAAATTATGAATAAACCCCTTGTGAGTCGAGTCAGGCATTAATATGATGAGTGAAATATAACCTTGTTTAATTTCTAGCAGCAGTTAAAAGTTTCACCACCCACAAAATTGTTAGGAAAAAAAGTGGGTCCTGTGTGACGGCCCTGACTGTCGGTGTGAACATGAACACTGTACTCATCCGATCTCACTTACCCGTTTAGACCCAAGCAAACACAGCATCCAATCTAATATATTTTGTACAATAGAAAATTAACTAGGCATCACAAGGGAACGAGTCCGATAAAGGTTTAACTAGAATCAGATGTTGTCAAGTTATATGAGTCACCCTATGTAGAGTAACTGACCTCGGCCAGAGACTGGTGACCAGGCTGCTCTTCGACCGCCTTCATTTCCTTGTCGAAGTAGTGGGTAAGAGGCTTGTAGTAGTTGTTCATGTAGCCATAGTTGTAGCTATACACCCTTGACCGGGGCTTCTGGTAGGCGTAGCGGGGCATTATTACGGCCACCTGAGGACACAAGATCAACATTAGTGATACTTTGTTTTTGTTTATCTAAGGTTGAAGGCAGACTGTATCCTTGTGTCAGTCTGTCATTCAACAAATATTCCATTTATATTGATTCCAATGGAGTCACCTAGTCATTCAAACTGGCGGTAGAGACAGCAACGTATAGCACCAAAATGGAAGATTTTCACTCCAAAATAGTGTTGTCACTGAGCTATGTACGCGCTGTCACATGTACATTTATACATCCTGAAACATAAACAATGAAGCTTTGAATATTCCTTGGCCCAACAGGCAAGGTTGTAGGTCTGCCTCCCAACACCTGGAGGCCGCCGCGTCACACACCCAATAAGGTTCTTGGCGCACCACCAATACTACACCCGAGGCTCCCACCACAACACTTTACCCAGGATAAACACCGTCATTTGCTGCCTTCTAATCTACTGTAGCTTGTCTAAACCCATAAGACAACAGAATAAACTTAAAGGTGGTAAACTTTTGTAACACTTTCCTGAGGATAGAGAAACGTTTTTTATACAAGTAAGAACAACGAACAAGACGAGCTATTATTCTGAAAGCTTAAAACGTTTTACTTGTAACAATTTACAATATTCAATATGAACAATTTGATTAAATTAGTAAACAACTGATGGCCTCCATGTTCGGTGGCACGTGGCCAAGACGATAACAAACCTGGTCAAGACGATAACACACCTGGTCAAGACGATAACACACCTGGTCAAGACGATAACACACCGGGTCAAGACGATAACACACCTGGTCAAGAGGCAATACCAACACACACACAGACATACGACTGGCTCTATCTGGTTGCTGGATCACACAATACATAAAATGACACACGCACGACCATGACAGTGACAACGGTCTTGGCAGACTCTATCCATCTGCTGACAGCCAGAACCTTGATTATATCCCGGAGTGACATATGAGCTGTAGTGTCTGACAGTTTTCTTCTTTTTGCAAAGTCTTGTCACACGATAGATGCTGTAGGGAAGCGTCACGCGACAGATGCTGGAGGGACGCATTACACATAATATGGGTTGGTGGTGCGCGACTGGAGGCTGACGCACGTCGTGTGGGCAGGACGGGAGTTAAGTCAGGCGCTTGCTGACGTAAGTAAATCAGACTGACGTATGTACAGTCACTCAAAAAGCTATCTTAAATTTTTTTTGAAAAAATAAGACACAAATGGGCGTAGGATTTTGGCAACCCTACCGAAACAACAGGAGTCGCAGTGTTCAATCTGAAATTCAACTGTCACCCCAAGTACAGATGATTTTTTGAGTGACTGTACAAATGACTGACAAAAAATAAATGCTCAGAACCTCTTAATGGTACATCAGATCACTTGGCCATTGTCCCAGTTGATAGTAAATTCGTCCGTTCTTCTACCACAGTAACTTTTTCCTGCAGTAAACTTTAACATTCTTTATTTCTCCTCCACCTCCTGCCAGTGTCCTTATGCCTTCCCCATTATCGTCGAGGCAGAATTTAAAGTTTGCTTCCCATAGTAACATGTGAGGAAGGATTATTCTATAAGATTACAGCATTAGTTTCATCCTCATTCCTGGTGTGTCTCGTCAGTGTAATAATATTAAGGTTACGTGGTACACCTGCGGGGACGTGTCATCTGTCACCTCGCCAACATAAAACCTTTTGTGTCGTGGCAGCAAGAAGCTATATAAAGACGAGTGGGCGGGTGGGTGGGTGTGGTCGCCTGTGACACACTTCACCTACTGGCTCAGCTGCACTCTGCCATCATCTTCTGGCACAGCTACAGTGTTAAATTCCTCGGGCAGCATCAGGTGGCTAGGCAGGTGATGAATATGCCGGGTGTCCTCCAGGAGAGTGCCGACAGGTGAAGGTGTTCAGGGGCACGAATTCTCAACTTTCTTTAAACAGCTAAATGAATGTCTTTGCTGAGTTACTGAACCACTGAGATGTTTCTTAATACTGTGCCCCCGGTCAACTCACCACACAGCCTCCATAATGCTCCTCTGGACCACAACGCAGCTTATGACCAGCTTCTGCTCTTCATTGTTTGTTAGTCGTGTGATAATCGAGATTCATCACAAATAGCTTCAGCAGATCCACATTACTCGTACAGTAGGTTGTGACGATATTGTTTGATCATTTGAGAATTCTGATCTCGGGAATGTGAGAAAGTTTAGTTTATTGGGAGAAACATTTCGACACTGCCAGACTGTTGACAGTGTAGGGTCATGGAAAATATACATGTGACGTCATCTGGTGCCACTGGCGGACACCCAACACTGAGAAACTAGGAAGTTTTAAGTCATGATGCCAGATTTAGTAAAAGGAATCTTTCTTAGTATATTTAGCACACCGAAAGCTGTGTTAATTGTACTCGGTATCTTCTCCTTTAATAAGTATTAATATTCACACTCTCTCGTGTATATATATATATATATATATATATATATATATATATATATATATATATATATATATATATATATATATATATATATATATATATATATATATATATATATATAATGTGTGTGTGTGTGTGTTGGGCTCAGAAATCGAAAAACGACCACTACGCGTTGTGGTTGTTTTCAAAATAACCAGAAAGCGAAATTTTGCGCTTGGGTTTAAAACTAACGCAATCCAAACCAACCTAACCTAACCTAACCTAACCTAACCTAACCTAACCTAACCTAACTTAACCTAACCTAACCTAAACTAGAGCAAAATCTCGCTTGTGGTTATTTTACAAACAACCACAACACTTTGTGGTCGCTTTTCGCTTTCTGAGCCCAACAGACACACACACACATACACACACACGAGTCAGAAACAGTTTAGTTTAAACTAGTCAAAACCAGAAGCCACATTGGCTGTGTGGTACACCTAGTATGACCTAGGCCAAACTAGTTACACCAAAGAAGGATGGGGAACCCGAAATACAGATACAACTTGGCAGGGCAGCTAGTAATTAAGTTAAGAAAAACGTACAATTGATAGAGATGAATAAACTGTAGGTCAAAGAACAAGGTCACAGCTCACGGTCAAAACTTTGGGGGTAAGAATGACACAACTAATGGCTACTGGACTTAAAGAACAGGGTGAGAGGTGGTGAGGGAGGGAGGGAAGTGGTGAGGGAGGAGGAAGGGTGAGGGAAGTGAGGGAGGTGGTAAAGGAGGGAGGGGGTGAGGGAGGTGAGGGAGGGTAACACATCGCTTCGCCTCACGGCAACCTGACTTTTTATAGCTCATCATGGTGAGACGCTGTGCCAAGTACCACCTGCGGCTACACCTACACCTCTCACTCCTGCCGCCGACCTGTAGAGCCACACAAGATGCCAGAGAGAGAGAGAGAGAGAGAGAGAGAGAGAGAGAGAGAGAGAGAGAGAGAGAGAGAGAGAGAGAGAGAGAATTTCCAGTATTGATAAACAAAACAAACCCGAAAAACTATAACTTCTCTACTGTAATCTAAGACCAGGTAGCTGTCACGCCACTTGATCAAGTTGTGTTTGAATTAGAGAAACCATAATAAAAAAACCACTTTATATATAAAACCCCAAATTGAAGTACTTTACCTTTACACCAAATGAACTGCAGGTGAACCGGTTTATGATCGATCTAAGTGAATCACATCGACTCACTCAGCCGGCGGTGGAGACTGACGGAATGTTCAGTGGTCGTGAGAAGAGTTACAGTTGTTTGTGTGACGGAGAGAGGCGCTACTAGTGTCCCTGTCTCTACTCACCACACAGAACAAACCAACAGTATTTCAGTAGGATGTAAAGTGTCCTTTTTATGTCGCCAACTACTGTACTGGAACATGTAAATTATAGCAGGACTCTGATCTTTTCTTACCTTTTAAAATTATGGGTTTAATTGTTCTTCTCACACAATATTGTTGGTCCATACTACAAGTTTGTCCTTCAAGAGTTCACGGCCGGATTTAGTACACGGATTGGAAGCTAAAGAACCGAATGTAAATATGTGTGAATCATCGTATGTCTCAATATTCCTCGAGTCGAGTCGTGTTTGGATTAGATAAAAACATGAAAGTAATTTTTTCTGGGCATGTAATCTCTTTAGAATGAGTTTAGTGATGCACTGTATGACACACACATAGTGCAGCAGCTCCCCACAAAAAATAATGGAGTTAATTGAGATCTAATGGACTGGGTAGTAGCCAGGGGACAAAACTCAAATTATTGGACTGGTATAATGGAATTCATTGAAGCTCACATCAATGACTGACGTTATCACATTATATATTTTATGTTCTCTTGTCTCTTCTTTAATTTTACCTTTCCCGCTAGAGGGCGTTTACACACTTGAGTCTACATGCCACATCTCGGATAGTTCTTATACGGCAATAACCAGCTGTTAACATTATTGTTACTAGAATAATAACGAGTTGAAATAAACGTTGATGGATGAAGTAATTATCTCGTGAGGCCTTGATCACATACTTGTGCAAGGCTTCAGGATTTGGTTTTTGTCAAGAATGTTGCAAGAGAAGATGAAAGTGACAACAGTGGCACACATTCTCACTGTGCCAAGATCCTGCTTATATTCAGCTGAATCTTTCCTTTTAAGTTGAAGATTAGAACTTATATTGACGGAGATCTTTTTTTTATTATTATTTATTGGGCACCCGCCTACATCCTTGTGTAAGGTGAAGCGCAGAAGCTTTTACAGCGCCCAACAGGAAGGCATGCTTGCCTTTATGTCTCATGAGTTAAGGGCGGAGGTCTTTCTTTTTATTTTATTTTTTTTTATTATTTATTGGGCATCCCCCTACATCCTTGTGTAAGGTGAAGCGCAGAAGTGTTCACAGCGGTGTGAGCATTCCTTGTACTTGACCCGAGGAGGTCACATGGGGAAGTCACGTGGGAGGGGTAGAAATATGTGCAGGAAGAGTTTCTCTTGTCGTGGGATATGGAAATTCGAATGTGTGGTGTGCTGACGCAGTGAGAGGAACATCCCACCCACACCACACCACGACAACACCTATACCGCCACATCCCACCCACACCACACCACGACATCACCTATACCGCCACATCCCACCCAAACCAGCACCACACCCTACCCACATCACCATCACTTTCAACATGAAGAAAATAAACTTGCTGGTCTCTGACCCCTGCACGGGTTACTGTCAACAGATCTTAGCTAATGACTAACAGAAAGAACGTTCACTCGTGAGAAAAATGATGTGAGAATCCACCAAGTCGGGAGCGTTAGCTTGATGGGTTCTCACGACGTCTTGTAACAACCACAAAAATTATGTTCTTTTAATTTATTTATAACTTCCACTACTTATTGGCACACAACGATGTCTTAAATGGACCATATTTTTGTTTGCCTTATGCGAATTAATTTCTATTAAGCTGTGGTTATAAAAACAAACAAATATAGTTATTTGTTTAAAAAAAAAAGTGAAACTAATACACCAACAAAAATACAACAGCTTGAGCAAAGAGTAAAGGGAGTACAAGAAGCAGAAGCTGAAGTACAGTAGGTGTGAGAACGTGTAGTTGTCGCGAGGCTAAACATAGAGGGTGCTGGTGGGCACTGGCTGGCAGACCCGGAGCGGAACCATTATTGAAACCGGCAGTAAACATTGCTTATTAGGCCGTGTTTAGCCGACACACTTCCGGTAAGTGGGGGCCCTGAGGTGTGGTTATATACACCAGGGAAGAATATAGGAACGTACTGCAGGTAACAACAGTGCCGGATTTAGACCTGTGGAGGCCCTGGGTAGCCTCTTTGTGGAGGTCCCCCCCCCCCTCATTTAATCGACAGACACATGACAACCGATGTGCAGATGCTACACGACCCAACTCCCTCCGACCGACTGTCAACAAACACAGCACCCTGATGGCATTCGTAATGGAAGTGATAATGAAAAAAATATATATTTTTTTTAATCTCAATTTCGTTATTCCATGTAGTTCATTTTTAATCAATACATGTTTGTGGAATTCTAAATATATTATTAGCAACTCAAACAATAGCATTCATTAAAAATATACAGTTCATAGGAAAACCAGGTATATATGAATTTCAAGGAGTAGCTATCCTAATTTCTATCACGCTTCTTGCTGAACATAGTTTTAAGTGATGGAATAGATAAACATGAATTTTAAAGAATGAAAATAAATATAATTCAAATGAATAAACAAATTAATAAAATATTGTAATATGTGGAGGCCCCCAGATTGTGGAGGCCCCTGGGTAGCTGCCCACTTTGCCCACTCCTGAATCCGGCCCTGGGTAACAAAGGTTGTGACAAATTAGTTACGACTCGCGATCCTGATAAGCAGAGAGGGACGTGGCAGCGGCGGTGAGAGGCTGTCGTTCTTATATAAGTGTTTTTGTCCAGTGGTTCTGTGAAGAGATCCTTTTCTCAGTGTGGTTGCTCGTGTCTGGGAGAAACTGACTAACAGGTTATAAAAGAGACTGGATGAACTGACTAACAGATGAACTAACACAAGACCGGAATGACGTAATGAAGTACTGAATACTGATGAAGGCGTTACTGAAATAGAAGGAACTAACAAGGTACTGAAAAAAGAAAAGAACAAATAAGACAGAAATAAAAAGAAGGATAGAGATAGAGGGGGTCGTGTGGAGAGGGAGGAGAACAGCTGGCGATATAATTCTGGGGGACCAAGGTTGTGGAGGATACACCAGGTGGCGCCGGTGACACTGACTTCATGGACCATCATCATGTGAGGGAAGGTGCCATAAAAAAACAACTGGGTATGAGGGGAGACTGCAGGTGGTGGAGACAAGGACACAGGGTTGGCAGGCAATATGGAACACTTGTAGCTCGTGTCCTCTTTAGTTATCTCACAAGCAGAGCTAACAAGATGAGACGACTGGTGTTGGGGAAGTTGGGTGGTGGTGTAGGGATGGAGGTGGTGGTGTAGGGGTGGGGGTGGTGGTGTAGGCATGGAGGTGGTGGTGTAGGGGTGGAGGTGGTGGTGGGTGGTGGTGTAGGTGGTGGTGGTGTAGGGGTGGAGGTGGTGGTGGGTGGTGGTATAGGGGTGGAGGTGGTGTAGGGGTGGAGGTGGTGATGTAAGGTGGAGGTGGTGGTGGGTGGTGGTGTGTAGGGGTGGAGGTGGTGGTGTAAGGGTGGAGGTTGTGGGTGGTAGTGTAGGGGTGGAGGTGGTGGTGTAAGGGTGGAGGTTGTGGGTGGTAGTGTAGGGGTGGAGGTGGTGGTGGGAGGTGGTGTAGGGGTGGAGGTGGTGGGTGACAACAATAAAAGTTGGCGGACGGCCTTTAGAAGGTAGCTTGCTGCAGTGACCGAGTGAGGAAGAATGCTTCAGTTTACAGGTTCATCTCCAACACATACTTTGGTCTTATTATTACTACTTTCTCTCCCTTTAATTTACCACCTACGCCGGTATCATGAGTGTATCAACGTAATCATTTATTTAAGCAGCTATTTCAATATCTGCGGGTAATAGTGTTAGCAGGGAGACAGTGAGGGAACGATTGTGTATTGAACACCCTGACTCAGACTATATGAGTGTGAGAAGTACAACATAAGAACATAAGAATGGAGGAAACTGCAGCGGGCCTATTGGCCCATACTGGGCAGTACCGTTTACACCCAACCCCTATTGCTCATATATCCATCCAACCTATGTTTGAAGCTATCCAGCGTGTTAGAGTTAATGATGATGTTTGGTAAGTACTGCACAGAAAATTTTTTAAATGGTGTTTTTGTAGTAAGATAAAGAATACTGAAACAACTACAAGAAGACCTTCCCATATATATATATATATATATATATATATATATATATATATATATATATATATATATATATATATATATATATATATATATATATATATATATATATATATATATATATATATATATAATGTTGCTTTCGTGTAATTACAGCGCTTGGGAACTTCTTTCTTTTAGATACCTACTACGCGCACCTACAGTGATTTACTTGCATATATATATATATATATATATATATATATATATATATATATATATATATATATATATATATATATATATATATATATATATATATATATATATATATATATATATATATATATATATATATATATATATATATATATATATATATATATATATATATATATATATATATATATATATATATATATATATATATATATATATATATTTTTTTTTTTTTTTATTACAGTTCAATCCCAAAATAAGTGAAAACCGGTTTTAACTAGTTAAAAATAGAAGCCACAAAGGCTGTATCAACTTGGAGGATTTAAATAAACTGCAGGAGTGGTCAGCAAAATGGCAAATGAAATTCAACACCAGCAAGTGCAGCGTACTTAATATTGCAAGAACAAATACTTATAATGTATACAGCCTTAACTACATCAACCTAGAGAAGTCGACTTGATGAAAGAGACTTAGGGGTACTTGTAAGCCCGGACCTACGGCCTAGAAAACAGTGCGTTAATGTTCGAAATATGGCAAACGGAGTATTAGGTTTTATATCTAGAAGTGTAAGTAATAAGAGTGCAGAGGTCTTAATGCAACTATATCTTGCGCAAGTGAGGCCGCACTTCGATTACGCTGTTCTGTTCTGGTGCCCCTATTATAGAATGGATATCAATTCAC